TCTTACACTGTCATGAAATAAACAGGCCATACATTTCCTTAGTTTCCTCTCAATTCCTTCCATGCTAATTAATTCTGTGAGTAAAGAACTTCAGTTGGGAACAAGTAGGTTACCAGCCCCAAATCAGTATGATTTACTTCTACTCATTTATTGCTACCACCATTCTTACCTAAACTTTTTGTTCTTAAGGGGATAATATTTCAAGGTAATGTCCTTGTGTGATTACAGCTTGGGTAGTTTGCTTACTTCCATATGGGGTTTGTTATAAAAGCTTACAGACAACCTGAGCTACATTCCAAGGTTTTCCTCTTTGCCCAGAAATCATTCTTCTATTCCGAGTATTGGCAGCCAGGGCTGGTGGGGAGAAGACTATGGGCAGGGAGCCATCAGAACTAGTCAAGGTCAGTTTTAACTCTGCAGGGTCAAAAGCAGACCGAGAGCAGGAGGAGCCGGCCTGGGGGACTCAGGACATGTTAATACAATTAAACCATGAATGCCCAGGAGAATTCCTTCTTCTCCCCGCTCTCCAACTCTTACTTTCTCTCCCACGGCTGGTTCCTTTTCCCAGGGTCCTCAGAAACTTGGTCAGGTACCTATATTGGTGAAACAACCATTATTGGCCTTTGCTCAGGCTTTAGCTGCCTTTCTGCTCATCACTTTTAGAGCTAAATATCTTTAAAGATTGTGGACAGAGTTCTTTCCTCTGTTCCCCCTCCTACTCCGTCTTCAGTCCATTAGTGTCTGGTTTCAGCCTCTCCCACTACAATGACTCAGCTCCCTGGAAGGTTTTCAAAGGTGGCCCAGTCACCAGACCTCAGTCTTCATCCTCCTAAACCTCATTTGTGCGTCTGTCCTTAAAAGCCACTAAACTGGAAGGCTTGCCACTTGGCTGGCATCGTCTTGCCTTCTGTTCTCCTTCTCCAGTCCGCAAGTGGAAGTCATCTCCAAAGTTCTGATCCCAATTCTTTCTAAAGTTACTCTTAGTCATTTTATCCATATCCATGGCTTCAATTGTAATTTAGATCGATGATTCCCAGTCTGTCCCTGGTTCCGACTGCTCCACCCATATTTTCCGTGGGCTTCCTGGATAATTTTACATGGATGTCCTTCTGACATCTCCACCTCAGTGGGTCTCAAACTCAGTTTGTCGTGTTTTCCTTCAAAACTGTCCCTCCACCCTAGCTCAAAACTTGAGTCATTCTCATTTCCTCCCTTTCCCTCGCTATATAGCTTAGGGTGGAGGCTTCTTTTCTCGTGATTTCTTTGTAACCCATAAATTAGGAATTTGTGCCACAATTTCCTAGTTTATACACTTCTAGGAGATGTTTCTGCCATTTTATTAGAGCCCTTTACTGTCTCTTCTCTTTGGGACATGAATGACTCAGTGAGGAGGGAAACTGGGGAGGGCCTGCTAGCCACTCAGGGCAGGGCTGGTGTGCAGAAGGTCCCTCCTCATGTATGGCCCTGTCTCTTGCTCACTCCCACTGCATGCCTTGTGGGTTGAAGACGGTCAGGCTCTTTTTAGCTGCTGGTCTCTAGGTAAGAAACAGCAGGGGTAGGGTCCCTTGCTGCCCTAGTGTTGGGAAGGCCTGTAGTTGTTCAGCTGTGACTGGGTGGGAATGGAGAATTCAGGGAAAAGGAGTGGCGTCCCATTTTGGCCTTGACTCTAAGCCATTTTCTTCAATCTGAACTTACCCTGAATAAAGTATTTTACTTTCCCTTTGGTTCCTCACGTGTGTTCTCAGTTAAGTTGACAACCAAAGGGAAGGAGGGTCATCTTCCACATACCTGACACCAAAGGTTCTCAATATTTTTCCCAACTCATTTGTCTTCTCTTGGGTGACAGTGCTAACTCATGATCATAAAAAGTAAAAAAATTATATATACTTTTCCATCTTGATTTTCATTTCTTGAAAGATTTGGCCATGGACCTTCCTCCTCCATCCATACCTCCAAACTTTCAATGTTTTTGTGACTTTGATACAATGTCAATTATTATTTTTTAATGAAAACCTAGCAGAAAGGAAAAGCCATACATTCTACTGAATTAACATCTAAAAAGGATTGATTGGCTGATTTAATATTTATTAATTTCCACAATGCATTAATGTCACATAAAAACAAAGAAGCAATTAATAACGTCATTATTTGGAGAAGGAAGTGATAAATTCACACACAAAAAAAAACAAAACCCAAAAAACAACAGAAAATAATAATGGAACCTAAATAGTAAATTCTTGCAATGATGTGGTTTCCTTATTATTAGTATCCTTGGGATAACTGATCTTAAGAACAGAAATAAATGCATCTTAAAAGAAATATCTATAATCCTACTGCATGGCGGTTAAACATTTGCCTGCCAAGAAAGATAAATGATGTTCTTGTGTGCACTTAAAACTTATAAATGGTGCAGCAAGACTCAGGATGATAACAGTTGTGCTGAAGTAATAGCTCAGAAAACCATAATTGCTATTTAGTTGCTTTATTGTTGTTAAAAATCCAGAGTTTGGGGCAAATTGGTAACTATGTTGTGTATGTGGTCTCAGTCAAGTTTCAAATCTATCGAGGCCATTTCAGCTCATTCAACAAATTTTAGTCAGTTGGAAGTAGTACAAAGATAATCTTCCTAAATTCTATTTGTTATTTCTTCCAGTGTTTGCAGAAGGGTAATTCAGTTCTGTTGTTTTCATTTACGAGGCTACGTTGAATCAATGCGCTGAAGAATTCTACCTTTCCTGATACATCACACATTGCAGGTTTTCAGGATTCCCTTCAGTAACCCCAGCGCAATGAACAGGAATACAGCCTCTCACCGCAGTGGGCTGCAGTGTCAGGAAACCTCTGAGCAGCGCGACCTGTCAGCCCCTGAGTGCCAAGGACCTATGAGCCTATTGTGACTTGCCTACGCTCTGACAGTCAACATCCCCACCTTAGCAACTGCAAGGTCCTGCCATCTTTAAACCAAAATAACTGAACGAGATGCAACATGTCAACAACTTGAATGTTTGTTCTAGGAAACAAGTCGTACGTAAGAAAACCTAATCTATTGTTTCCCATGTTTATAAATCTGGTATTTAAGAAATGCATGAGGCAATGCCTTTTGGGTTTCCTTTAATGCTTACACTTGGTGGTATGCTAAAGGTCTGAAGAACATCAATGCAAATGGTTAAGCTTTTATGCAGAGCTCTGCACTTGATTTTGTATAGTCAGAAAACAACACCCATTTTGAGAACCTACCAGCAAGTAAGAAAACTTAAGTATTGTCAGTGATTCTTTAACGGCTTGACAAAATTATACAAATTACTTTTTTATGACACAATTTCTTCAGTCTCGTAAAATATTCCAAGGAGTCCACCTAAGTAGTTACTAGAAACTCCATAAATGCAGTAATGTGTGATCTTATCGCAATAACTGCAGTTCTTTTATGAGAATAAATAAAACAAAACCAGCGAAAACCAGCCCTACACAAGAAAAGGCAGCACTGCCTCGGGAGCGGCGGAACGCGGTACGGCACCCGGCCGGCCACGGCCGCCAGATGCCGCAGACCGGTGCCGCAGCGGCGTCCCGGGCCCGTGGCGGTGGCCGTCCGCCCTGAGGCACTGCCGCGCTCCCGCCGTGCCTGAAGCGCTGGCATTGCACCGGTGACCACTGTATAATCCCGGCCGTCAGCTACAATACACTTTTTGCTGGTTATGAAAAAATGGGAGGGGGTGAGAGGGAGTGTGTGCGTTTTGAGTGTGGCAGAGCATTAATTTCCTCTGGCTCCCTAAAAAAATTTCTCTTCAAAATATTCGCAAGCCGAGCTCCAACTCCTTTCGTCTGTCAGGTCCCCTCATCTGAAGTTGCCTCTCCCTTCAAATGCACGAACTGAGGCAAGGTTTACGGTCAACGCAAGGCTGCAAGAGCCCGTTTCTCGGCTGCGAAACAGCGCCAAGTTTGGGGGTGGAGCAGCTCACGCCTGCAGCCCGGAGCGTTCTACTTGGGGTGCGGGGGGAGGCTCCCAGCTTAGAGAGGCTTGGAGAGGGGTGGGCCTCCCGGTCCTGGAGAACCCCAATTCCCAGGGAAGGCCCTGCCCGGTGTTCACACTTCAGCGTGCGAGGAACCCCCCCCCGCAAGCAATAGCTCACCCGGCTGCATCCTCCAAAGCCCCAGCCTCGGGGCGGGGCGCGGGGAGACGGGAGGTGGGCAGCACCGCCTGGAGGCTCCCGCCAGCTCCTTACGGTTTTCCCCCCGGCTCCGTGGCGCCCCCTGTCGCCGGGATCCCCAGCAATTCGGCCAAGAGAGGCTGCAGAGGGGGAAAGCCCAGTGTCCGGGAACAGACAGGCGCCCTGCCTGTGCACCCGCGGGCGCGCGTACTGGCGGGCGGCCCCGCGGGGGTGGGGGGGGCGCTGGGCGCTCAGGCCCGGGAGCAGCCCGCGGCCGCCGCCGAAGCCGCCGCAGCCATGTCCGCGCGCCCGCGCTGCCGCAGCCCGGCCGTGATGTCATCAGCCTAGCCCCTGCCGCGGCGCCCATTCCCGCCCCCCTCGGGCCGCCGCGGCTGCAGCCCGGGCGCCACGTCCCCGCCCCGACCCACGTGCGCCCGGCTTCGGGGATGCCGAGGCCGGCAGCGGCCGCGCGACGATGCTCGGGACCCCGGTGGCTGCGGCCGCAGCGCTGCTCCTCCCAGCCCGCCGCGTGCCCGGCGGGGCTGCGCCCGGGGGCTGCGCACGGACGGGGGCGGGGGCGCCCGGGGAGGGAGGGGAGAGGCTCCCCGCCGCCCAGTCCCCGCCGGGCCGCCGTCTGCTGAGTCACGGCGGGCGCTCCCCGCAGCCCTGGATCGTCGGCGCAGCGCGGCTGGCGCGGGCTGCGCAGCCATTGGGAGGCACGCGGGGCCGCGAGCGCGGGGCCTGACGCGCCGAGCCGCGCTCGTCCGTGCCCGCCGCTGGGTCGTGCGCCCCGCGCGGGTGCCTGCGCCGCCGCCCTCCAGCCCCGCCGCCGAGCCGCCCCCGCCTCGCCCGCACCATGATCGCCGCGGCTTTCCTGGTCCTGCTGAGACCCTACAGCATCCAATGTGCCCTCTTCCTCTTGTTGCTTCTGCTGGGCACCATCGCCACGATCGTCTTCTTCTGCTGCTGGCACCGCAAGCTCCAGAAAGGAAAGCATCCTATGAAATCTGTCTTTTCGGGTCGTTCAAGGAGCCGAGGTAAGACGCGCCGCGACAGAGCTCTCGGGGCCAGGGGGAACATTTAAGCGGATTTGGAGAGTGGAGCCCGGCTCGCCCCTGCCCCCAGCATTGCCCACTCCCAGCCTAGGTACGTTTAGGCTTTTAACGCCCCTTGCCCTTTTCGCCGTTACCCCTTTCCTCCAGCCTCGCGGATTGGGATGCACGGTGATGCAGGGCACTGGGAGCGGAGGAACGGACGCACATTCTTAGTATCAGTTGCGAGAGCCCTCAGGGTATTGGAGTGTAGCCCGGGGCTGCGGCAGCCTCCCTTCACCCGTCCAGCGCAGGACCTTAGGTGTAGGAAAGTAAAGCATGGAGAGTTCGGGGCTCCCCAACTCCCCCAGAACTTTCCCCAAAACTTGTCGCGGAGAAATCGCTTGGAGACCGATGGCCTAGTGACCTCCCGGCCCTACAGAGAGATGTCCCCGCAGAATAAAAGGCATCTGGAATGTGCCTTTCCGACTCTTGTCCCCCAGGTAAGTCATTAGGAACTCGGCAGGTGAAGCACAAGGAGTTAATGAAGTCTCGTTTTTCTCTTTTCTCCCCAGATGCTGTTATGAGATCTCACCACTTTCGTTCTGAGGTAATTTATTTAGCGCGCACGCTCAAGGTCAGAAGAAGTTCTCTTTTCTGAGTACCAATATTAATCATACGCTTTAAGAAATAAAAATACACTTAGTCATATGTGTGAAGAAACCAGCAGGGCACTTAATGACGAGCATGCTGCCCTCAAGCCGACAGTGACGTTTCTTTTTAAGTGATTCCCGAACATTAGTGCCCAGCGAAGATTTTAGCAAATTTCTTGGGTAGTGGAGCCCCTGTACAAGAAACGGCGACAGCGCCTAGAAGCGCTTTGAAAACCTCAGGAAACTTAGCCACGGAGTGGATCTCAGTTTCGTTTAAGATCTGTAATTTGCCGGTGGAAGCTTTCTGGGTGCTATCAGTGGGCGGTGGGTTGTTCACTTGGATAGCCAATGACAGAAAAAGGCTTTTAGGGTTGGTGCAGAGCAATTTGATCCATATGCATTTCATTTTAGACTTTCAAGGTTACCTTCCTGTTTACTCTTAAAGCCCTCCACGTTTTACTGGGGCCATCTGACGATTTTTGCGAAGTGATGGTGGTAGTGATTCGGCTGTAGTTGGTCATGCGTGCGCCTCTCTGCTCTCTGAATGTGGACCGTCCCTCCACGAGCAGGTGACGGTGGGTGCAGTGATTAGGTGGGACAGCCAGGGGACCTGCTCCACTGAAGACAACAAAAAAACCCACAAGCTCTCCCTTACCCAGTGTTCCTTTATGAATTTCCAGGCCAACCCCCACTTAGTGTGAGGTAATTTTACCTCTTTTTGGGAGTGTTTCACACAGCCAGACTTGGAGATTACTGGTACCAATGCATGATGTGTTTACTCAGCAAAGGCTTCATAGTCAGACACCCTCCATTCCCTTGCTGTTTACCTGAGAAGTTATTTCACATTTCATCTCACTAGTTAATCAGACGTTTTATTGCACACTAGATGTTTTATGGGACTGTGGTTGCTTGGAAGTTTTTACTGCATTATTATAACATTATAGTGTTGCCCAGTGAGTAATTCTACTGCATGTAACCCTGGAGGGTGAGAACTCAATTTAGGATGCTTAAGAGAATAAGTTAACCAGTAAAATAATCTAGAGATTCCATTCCTGGCTTTACTCTAACTAGCTGTATGGTTCTGGGAAACTCTCTTAAGTTTTCAGCATCTCAGTTTACCCATCAGTATAATAGGATCAAATGTACCTGGCAGGGTTGTAGTGGGAGGGTGGGTTTACAAGTAATTACATGAAAAAACCCACTTAGTTCATAGCAGATACTCAGTACTGGGTACTTATTATTACATTTTGTAAAGCTGAATTTAAAAGTGTATAAAAATAAAAGGTGTTCATAAAATTTAATGTTTTGTTAAATTAAATAATTCAGGTTTATGAGAAATGATATAAACAGTCCATTATGAAGTAACACTTTCTGAATATTTTATTAATTTAATATAAGAATCATTTAGATGTGACAAAAATAAGTAATGCTCAGGGTGCAAACAACAAAATTTGGGATTTGATTTTAAAAAGAGAGTGCCTATTCTATGCACATAAATGAAGAACCAGAGTAATAATCCTGTTATGGATATATTAACCATCAGGCATTTTAGCTAAAGTACAAACAGAAAAATTGACATAGAATCAAGTTTTGGTTAATTCTCTCTCAGTGAAGCATTTGTCATGAGGATGCATTTTGTTAGGAAAGTTGGGAGCAGTAGTTTCATGCCTTATCTCATTTCACAAGATTCCTGGTACAGTTGACATCCTCTCTGTAGTTTATATTGCTTTATCTGCTAGCCTGTGAGCTCCTTAAGGGTGTAGACCATATCTCTCTTGTTTAGGGCTGTATGCCCACTTCCTAGTATATTGTGGGTTCTTAATAAATATTTATTGAATGAATGAAACATCTCTCCGTGGGTGCCAGCCAGTTCCTGTAACTGGGCAAATAGAACTTACAGTTGGGCAGAAAAGAAAAATGTGCATTTTCAGGTCATTGCTCAGAATTCAACTTTTGCTGAATCTCAACTCTTATTTATCTTTCTAGGCTTTTAAAAATTGCCCTGGAGTTGGTATTAAAACTTTAAGTCATTTATTATAACAAAATAGATTTAGTTAGAATTTTTGTTTCTCAGAAAATTAAATGCACTCTTAGTTTATGGATGGGCTGCCTATGTTCTTTTTGTACCAAATTCCTTTGGTAAACTACTTAAAGAATGTTATTTTATAAATGAAAATCCTGAGACTGTGTTGTGTGAGAATGTCATGTTTTGTTGCTACATTATGTTTACCATAAATAAAACATTTTCCCTTAAGGGATTTTTTTTCCTTCTCCCTTTCTATCAAAATGCCATTTCCTGCAGGATTTTCTCCTTGAGAATACCTCTGAATTTTTTGGATTCTAGCATGTTAAAAAATTAGAATTTGAGTAGCATAATGGATATCCTTGTTGCTTTTTAGCAGTATCTGCTGAAAAGTAATTATCAAAAAAAATGTTTTGATTGTGTGACAAGTCATAATCAAATTAAACTAAGAAGTTGGTGCCTTCTCTTCTTCATTCCAGTCCCAGTTAGAAGATAATTCACTTTGAGCATTTTCACAGTGGTCAAATGAGGGAAATGACTTTAGGATCTGCTGACTCATTTTGAAATGGGAAGGAGCTTTGGGAGAACCCTTGTACATGGGAAGGAGTTAGTTAGCACTATCCATCTTTACTTGCCAGAGGATATTCTCCAACCCACATGTCCAGGAAGGAGTCCATTTGGACAGAAAATTTCAGGATGTTCCTGCCCAGGTAGTCAGGGTGGGGAGCCATGGGATTAGGACCCGATCTGCTTTGGAGAAGCTCCGCAGCGGGGAAGAAAGCCACATCTCTTATCTGAGGAGCTCCAGCATTTCTCCTCACTAAGTGTATAATAAACACCTTTATTCAATTCACGAAGCTAGAAATAAATACTATAGATGTTTATAAGACATTTTGGAATAATAACCACCACCAACCCTTTTTATTTTCACATACCTGCAAACTCATCTCTACTGGCTTAGGAATCCTCTGTTAATAACAGCATACAAGAATGTGAATATATTAATCTGTCCAGCAAGGACTGAACAGTATAACACCAATTCACTGATAGATAAAAGGCCCAATTAGATACATAGAAATAGGTGATTTGTGTATGAATATAAAAATCATGTGTAGTGTTTTTTTGGTCATAAACAGCTAATGAAGAGAAGTGATTTCACACTGATGGAGGCCACAGTCTAGAAATCAAGTATTCATTCTGGGTATCTAAGAAGTGTACTTTTCCTGGGAATTTACAATGTTTTATGCTGTAACTTTACACAATGGTTGACTGTTACTTAGATCCCTCTGGGGAGTATCAGGCAGTGACAATCCTGATTTTAAGGAAATTTCAGAAAGTGATATGGGTAAGTGAGGTACCATTTGATTACGAAGAGTCTTGGGAGTGCTTCTGTAGAATGAAGACAATTATAATGCCCTTGGAGAATATCCAGAATGAACAGTGGTAAATGATCCCTATTCATCCACTCGGTGGACTAAGGGAAGCCTTGTTTGATGTAAGGAGGGGAAAGAGTGTGTTTTATGTCTATCAGCATTTGAGTAAATATCTTCACTTCCCTTTTCAGGTAAATGAAGCAAAAGAACTAAGTCAGGTCAAGCAGTTCCCAAAGAGTCACATAGCAAGATAACGACTGAGTAAGACAAGAACTCCCTGTCTACATTTTGTCTGCCCTGCGGTGTTTAACTGTGACACTCACAGCTCAGGGAGTAAAATGCCCAAACTTCTCAATGAAAGAGAAGCTAAGTTGAGTGAATTCTTAGTGGACATTTCTTACAAAGCTGAATAGCCAATCCTTTAGGTTTTTCCAGCGGTTATCCAGGTTATCTTAGATGAAGGGATGGCCCACACAAGCCCTCTGGGCTGCATTACATTCCCAGAGGGTCCCTGTACCAAACTGTGAAACAAGGACAGCAAAATTTTTCCCAGCTCTTCCCATTAAATTTGTGTCTTTCATTAAGAATTATTCAATGTAGTGGATTAGAGAAAATGATTGTTTTTTAGCTATCTTTTTACAATTGGTTATTTTTAAAATTCTTTGCCTAGAGTTAAATTCTAGGTTTAAATTAAATTATACTAATTAAATCTATCTTAAGTTGAACCCTGTACATGATACAGTGTTCATTTAGTGTCACCCAATTACTTTCAAAATAAACACAAGTTATTTTTTCATTCCGTACAGGGTGTGATGTTAGCACTGACAACCGGTTGGAGGTACAGCCCCTGCCCTTGATGATTACCTCTAGGTCACTCCCAATATGCGTGCTGAAATTTTATAGTTACAGGTTTCTTCTGTTACAGTAACTGAACTGCTGTGCTGTTTCCAACTGTGAATCACAAATGCAGTGAAAGCATCAGAGGCCAGCGTGTACAAGTACAGCCAATACATGTGTAAAAAAGACAAATTCACTCTATTCACAGAGCTTTAGTTCAGCAGTCCCCACTACCATATAATTTACCCTTACTTTAGCTACATGGCAACAAAGCAGAATGCTGAAAGAACAAAAGAGAAGAAAGGAAAAAAAGAAAGCCCATTTTATTTTTCATGCATCCAAGCCAATTAAATGGAATCTAAATGAATGTTGAAACAAAAGCTTTTTCCAGAGAAATTTGAATCTTTGTCCAACCTTAAGGCTTAAGAATGACACTCTGAGATTTGGACTACAAAATAGAATGAGGCTAATAACAAGTATTGATTTAATAGAAAGGAATATAGGGATAGAATTCCAAATCCTGCTTTTGGGTTCCAGCTGTGCCACTAACAATGTGATCTTGGTCAGGTCTCATAGTGTCTGAGATGTGGATGCGGTCTTCTCACTGGTAATGTGAAGATGATCTCTGAAGCCTCTTCCAGAAGTAACAGACCGTGCTTCTGCTGTGTGCAAAGCATCAGGCTAAGAAGGCAGCATGTAAAACATGATTCCTGCTTTCTAGGAG